GGCTTTATGGACGACTACTTTGCTATTTGGTAACATGGAAAAGAAAACATGCAGTATTTTCTTGGTTTGATGAACAGGATTGATGGAAAAACGAAATTTACCATCGAATTAGAAAAGGCAGGTGGTTTATCTTTTCTTGTTGTTCTGGTTAGCAAAGAGGGGGCGAGATTAGGTTGAGATGTGTATAGGAAATACACAAATAAAGGACTTTTTTGGATTTTTTCTACAACCACACTTATAGGGTTAAAGTAGGAGTTATGAAATCTATGAGAATAAGAAATCTGCATCTGGCAGATGTCAAGCATAGGGACCAGGAATTGAGAAGATTAAGGCGAATTCTGGTTGAGAATGCTTATCGAGGATGGCTAATTGACAACTATTTTAGAATATTGTCACATAGAATGAAGGAAAATACATATTTAGTGCTAAACAAAGAGATAGATCACGATACAAGTATCCTTAGACTGTCATCATGTGAACTGTCGAGGGAGATAGGCGATTTACTGATGAGGTGGAACATCAGGACCATTTATAAAGAGAAAATAACACTGTCCTCGGTATTGCCTCCTTTACTAAAATAATCTGACCCGCTCTCCATTTCGGGCTGTTAAAAGATTTTGTGCTTACTTCCATTTCCAGTGAAGGTGTCTGGTGAAGAGATACGAAAGTCGATTCCACCAGAAGACGACAGTAGATTTCCCTTGACCAGCTGTTGATTGGCTTCGAATCTCATCACCAAACACTTTCACTCGAAATGGAAGTACGCACAACAATTATGAAACAAGAGATTCGTCGAAACTCAACTTTTCTTCGCACAAGCTTTTGCGTTGATGTGGTAGTGCTTATGGGGGAGAGACCCATAGACCTATAGATAAAAGGTTATCGGAACACAAAACAACATCCAAAAATAGGAATTAGCCGAATACGTGGCTTACACAGGACACCAGATAGATTGGTCTAATGCCAAACGCTTAGTTGGATATAGAGTCTATACCAACCAGCAAGCGAAAGATTAGGGAGGCGAGAGAAATCAACAAAACAGCAAACACCATGAAGAAAGGGAATGAGTGAAGGAAGTTAAGTGGAAACTGCTTCTGACTGTTAGATGGGTTTAGAGAGAGAGGGAGAGAGAGAGAGCGAGTGGAGCGAGAAGTAGGACCGAGCAAGAGGGGGAGGCTTGATTAGGCTGGCATTCGGTTTTGGCTCTCAATCACACCCATTTCAAGAGCAATGTACTCACACAACACGTGGGCAATAGGACGCAATCACATGCGATAACATTGCAGGATCAAAGCACACGTTTTTTAGGGTTCAATTACACCCATTCCACGCTTCATTTGCAGCCACTCAGCTTAACTTATGAGCAAGCATAGAGGCAACGCATAGGACATCCAACAAAACATGAGATGCACAAGTGACCCAAATTGGAAGTAGTCTTATTTTTCGTATTTGAATAGTATTTCGAGTAGTCTTGCCACCGGTCAACTTCCTTGCCTTCGTGTATTTGGTGAATTATCGTTAACGATGCTATCCTGCTTTGAAAATGTCAGTCACATGATGGACGAAAGCCCAGCACTGATTCATCGGATTAGCAGGGTGGTGCGCCAAGGACCTATTCACTCTAATCTACAACCACAGCCTCCGGTTGGAACAAACATACGAATCCCATCCGCTTGCCTCTCCAAACGGAATAAAAGGTACTCCAACATGAATATATTAAGTGATTCTTCGAAACCCAGTTTGTCTACATTTCTGAATAAAACGTTGTTGCATGTTGAAGGGGCCAAATTAGAATAAACTTTATTGATATTTTAATATAAGAAATATTCGATTTTGATGTCTTTATTTATGCTTTGCCCAGTATTCATTCGGCTTTGCAATATTCCTCACCAAAAAGGAAAAAGCCTTTTTTTTAACTAAATTTCATTCTACGATATACCCCCAAGGTTTATTTCCTTCATGTCAGTTTACCTGGAGCTCAAAATATTAGCGTCAACTTCAATAAGTGAAAATGAGTCAAGTCCTTTCCTAATTCACTACTGAGCAGTTCAACCATGAATCTACATGAAAATATAGGATAAACGGTATAGCTTTGCAGTTAAAGAGGTATATTATTGATGGCTCTAAGGTCGAATCGACTAAGACTTCCATTGTGTTGAGACAATGATGAGCCAATACATGATAATTTTTATGTAAAAAATGCGTTAGAAAGATCTAGTCGTGCTAATATTAAGCTAACATAATTCAGGATCTGCACTTCAATACAATGACCTCAGCGTGACCACGTCCTCTTGATCTAACTCTTTAAGCTGAGTTATTATGAGATTCCGGATAATTGCTACTTGATTGCTCTTATTTTAAAACTTCTGTAACTAGTATCATTGTATTTCCTTCTCATATATCTCTTTATTAATATCACATACATTATTCTTTTGTATATCAAAATATTGAGTTTATTAGATTTGTCTCAATTAATCTTATTAAAAGGTACTTAAGGGTGTTCTACTCATCAGATACTGACTCACACTTAGAAACACTTCTGCTTACAGTTGACTCATTGGGAGATCTAAGCGTCTAAGACTCACTACATTTTCACTGGCTCGCCCATGTGTAATTGGAGGACGGAAATTAACTACAACGTCCGGCATGGCCATACGACTGCTAGCATAAGATACTTGAACAGGAATAATTAAATTCTACTAGTATGAACTAGTAAATGAAAATCAGCGCTTACCGATAGACAGATTAAATGGTTAAATTTGACCCAACCAAAAGCAAATTTGGGTTTAAAAATGTAAATTAAAAGGTAATGTCATGCAAGTAAATAGCATATAACTTCAAGAAACACAGCTCTATTTACTTCAACCCATTATCAAGTAGACATCCTTTCTTCTCTTTTTGTCAGGCGAAATCGGCCGAGAAATGTACATAGTCAGCCGTGGCCTTCTCCAAGTGCTTGGTGAAGGAGGTTCCGCGCATGGCCGGATAAGCAATCTAACTGGGGGTCAAGATGGCTACTTAAAGTCAGAGGAACAGGTGGTTCTGGCTACCCTTAGGCCCGGATCTTATTTCGGCGAGATTGCACTCCTCCATTTGGATCACCTTTTCAATTCAGGCCAAACACAAAGCCTCAGCAAGGTGAATGTCCTGAATAAAAGATCATTACAAATAATACTTCGATTTAGGCGGATAAAAATGAATTTGGTGTAAATAAACAATATTAGATAGATTACAATATTTGGTGTTCAGTCGTACCTAGCATTATGTGCTATGATTGCATTATACGATACGTAAATATAAAAAGGGTTGGGCGAAAGGAATAATTTCCACTCTTATTCGGATGCTACCAAAGGATAAAGCTTAGCACGATGCCTCTTTTTCTGAGTTTATTTCATCTAATGTATTATAAAAAGTCCTTGTATCCTCTAGAGCAATCTAAGATGATTTTGGCCTGTAATAAATTTCACCCAGTGACTTAGAAGCCTAAATATTTGGTATGAGAAACCTGGCTCTTCGAGATACAGCTGGAAGTTATTGGCTGCTCGTATCAAATAGACTATGAATTGCTGCGCCTTATTAGAAATAAAGAGTTGATCAAACAAGTAAATGGGATCAACCTTTAGCTCTCAAGATTAATTCAATTTGCCATGCAGCCGTTCAAGCAGTAACTTAATCTTGCCACTCAAACAAGATACAAAAGCTCTCGTCCTCTCGCCAACTTTTAGAAATTTACTTACTCGCCCATGTTCCTTCATGTTGCAGTTGCGATGACCATCACTAGCGCCCATTATTGAAGAACAGAGCGCCTAAGGGAAATATGCCTTCTTGGTGAGCCAGAGAACAAATGTAATGAATAAACAAAAAACTCTTATAGATATGATAAGAGCTCGATGAGCTATGCTGGAGAAGATCAAGCAACAACAAGGCTCATGAAGTCCAAAATGCAGTTTCAGCTATCTTTGTTGCCATTCATTTTTGTACAGACCTTCATTAAAAAGCTAGACTTCGTTGAATTGCTTTGTGATGACAATTCGACCCATTATACAATTAGAGCTAGATCTTACAATCTAGTTGCATTTCCCCCCTACCCCACCCCGAAAACGTTCATGAAATATCTTTTAAGGAAACTATCTTCAGTCTGAAGTGTTCATCAAAACAGTGCTGGAAAAACAATTACGCCTATTAAGAGCAATCCAAAATTGACGAAAATGGCTTTCACAATTCAGGCACATAATTCGCGTCTAAGAACTAGCTCGGCTAATTGATGAAATGTGTCAAGTGTCGGAATCAGAATCAGTTTTCATAATTTCAAATAGGCAAACGGCTAGCTATATTCATGTCTAATAGGTTTCGAAACTACTTAAACAACCTGAATACGAACTCTATTCACCCTATCTCGCATAGAGTGATAACTAGCTAGTAGTTGAATTTTCCCACATTAATGTGTGCATACTTCAAAATGCCAGAAAATTTCACTTAACGCATTCTCCCAAAAGATATTTTCATCTATGTTGGACCTCAGATCAACTTTCTTTCGGGGGTCGAATACATGTTGAAACTCACGGCTAAATCAACTTGATAGACATCGTGATGTCTACTCATATGATTGCGGGAAAATACAACTATCTTTTCTTCGTTATAGGGACCTTCATTTCATATGAAAGTACATGAAGAAGAGATTCGTTGGTCGATCTCACCAGATGAGGACGGATGAAACTCGTTGTATTACAGGCGGTTGGATTTATACGATATTCATGTTGACGCAGTCAACGGATCTTCCTCCCTCCTTTCAGGTGAAAACTGGCTGAGCTTTCGTCCATCATATGATGGACATCATCAGAGCTGGGTGTCATTATTGTGAAATGCTTTCGTTAACACTAGGTTAAGAAGACTATCGGGCTTTATCTTACCTCTTATATACATTTAGTTAAGCCAAAAGAAAATAAAAAGACCTAGATGGATATAGAGTGGTTTGGTCAATTATCTTTCATACTTTTCCTGCTACTTTTGCTCGAGTGTATGCGTGTGTGTGTGTTAGCGTCTATATGCAATACCGGTACTAAATCAGAGTTATCCAAAGGTTAAAGTTAGGCACAAATTAGGGGTTAGATACATTGATGACTACTTTGCCATCTGGCCTCATTGTAAAAACAATTTAGATAGTTTCCTATTTTCACACAACCAGAGTGTAAGGGACATTAGGTTCACGATGGAAATGGAAGAAAATAAGTCCTTACTTTTTCTAGATGTTCTCATTATTAGAGAAAAGGGTAAGTTAGAAAGAAATGTTTATAGGAAGTCAACATATGTTGGCT